CTGGCACCAATCATGAGCTTCATTTCAGCGGTTCATGGTACATTTTGAGGTAGCAGGAATCAAGGGTTGTTAAAGTGGTATTTGAAAAATACTTGATTGGTTGAAAGTCTCAAGTGTATGGAACAATTAGTTATATAATTTGTAAAAAAAATCATACAATTTTAATGGGAATTGAATCAAAACATTCGTCAAGTCATTGCTTCAAGATCATAATTTGCACCCTCAGGTAGGGGACTCTGTGTACACTTTTAGCCATATATTTTTTTCCCTTCAATGAATTCTTTTAAAAATTTCTCTAATTTAAAGAGGACAAAAAAAGAATGTAGGTTGCTGTGTTCATTCATGAGCTAAAGGCCATTGTACCTCTTTACCTGGTACATTTATTGAAAAATGACTTGAGGCTAGTCTAGCAATTTGAGTTTATCTCATAGGGCCACTGGCAATCACTCAAAGGTTCATTTTGTGAAATATCTCCCTAGGTTTCTTTCTTAACACCAATAATTTTTCTTTTGGTTTAGGTTATGTTCTGTTTTCCTTTGTTTTTTCATTAACACCCAAATCCTCTCATACACCATTTTTTTTTTACATCTTTCAGAGGGTGAAGGTAAGTGAGGGGTGACTAAGAGTCAGAGCAATTTTTCATGTTTCTCCTTCCTCGTGTGACTTGCCCTTTGCATTCCCTTTATAAGTCAATTCCTTGGTTTTTCAGGCTAAGTAAGAGACCAAAGTAACATAGAAAAATGTATTAACATTTACTTTTAATTCAACCATAGGAATAAATTTTGTGTGAACTACTTGGAGTAAAACACACATTTTTAGAGTTTTACAAAGCTTGTGTTATTCTTGTTATGTCTTAATCTATAATTTACACCATATCTTAATGACATTGACAGAGAAAGAGTAATGACAACAACATCATTTTCATCTACCAGTATGTTAATAATAATAATAACCACAGTCTTAATAAACACACAAAAAAACTTAGCTATGGTAAAAAAAAAACTTCTACCAGCATAAAACTTTCTCCTTTTGTAGAAAATCATGAATGCATTGCATTATTACAAATGATTAAAATATCAAGAGCTATTTACAATGTCATGCAACCTTAACGCTGCTGTTTTTTTGGACTGAAGGTTAGCTATTTTCTTACATGTATAAATATTAACTTTTCCAATGACTTGTGAAATGCAATTTCAACAATGAAGGTTGATACAGGCAACCATCACAACTAACACAAAAACAAAATGGAACTGACTTATTTGCCAAAGAAACCAAATTGGAGTTAGATTTTTTTCTATTCAAAACTGCTTCTGTAATTCTTTAGCAAATACCTAAGCTTTGCTCACACCAAGACAAAATATAAACTTCTAGGAGTATTTGTAAGTCACTGGAAAAAATTTTCTCTAAATTCTGCTTCTTTACAGTAGAGAGCAATAGAATCTATTCTGACTTGTGACAGTAAAGATCCTTAAGTGTCTTGAGTTCCTCTATTAATGTCTTATTTTGGTTTTCAAGGACAGCGACTCTGTTTTCAAGACACTTCACATACTCTTTCTTCTTCCGTCTACATTCTTTAGCTGCCTCTCTGAGAACGAAGAAAGCAAAGTTATAAATGTGAACACAATATGCAAGTTTTGCTGTATCAACAAAAATGACAACCAAACTAGGATTTTCAGCCAGGTTCATGTCAACCATAGAAACCTAAGAGGCCACTGAATTTTTAACTTTCTGTTTTTCATTTCTTAGGAAACATACTTCACACTTCACATGTAAATGATGGTAGGTCAGAGAAATGACTGGTATAATCAAGTCATAGCAAACCAAAACAAGAAAAATTTGCTAGAAAAGGCCATTGATAGTAACAAACTTAAGAATATCTATCAGCTTGAAAGAGTGCTAATTCTAGTTTTAAGGGTTATACTTCAAACACATCTGTTTGAAGTATCTATCAATGAAGGATGTTTTTCTATCCATGGAGGATGTTGAGAAGACAAGTATATAAGTGTGATGCATGCTTAAACAAGTTTCTGAGCTTGCTAACAAGTGGCATTGAAGTGATTTGTTTGAAAGTCACACGTCAAGGACATTTGAGTACAAGTTAGTCCATTGGGGTTGCTGATTTGGTGGACTTTTGGCTGAAAAAAATCCTAAAAAAGCTTCAACAAAACCACTCTTATCAAACAAAGGGTAATCACCTATTTTTCATCAGTCTCATTTCTCGTTTCCGTGAAGCATCTTCAGCGATTTGTTGGCCGTTTCCACCAATTCCAGGTGAATTAAGAACAACACCTGGAGGCAACTGTCCACGGATATACTGCTGTTGTGCTGCAGGTATTGTGTACATTGTACCGGTGTTACTAACTTGGACTTGCTACAGAAACAAGTGAAAAAAGTGTAAGACAGTCAAAGTCAGCAATCCATCCAAGTGCCCAATACCACGGGAGCCTATTTTAAGCCAACAACACACCTGGCAATTTTATTCCCTATCGGCACACAAAATCACCAGGTGCGTGGCCACCTTTAGTTTCCACAGTATGAAGTGACAAGGAAATACTTCTACTCCCTCCTGGATCGAATGCCAGTCCATTTCAGGTTGCCCTTCCCCCCCTCCCCCAGCATTTTGTCTGGCTTCCTTGATAGTTTTCCTCAACCCATTAATCCTAAGATCAGTACTTATATTCTCCATACTGTTCTCCATATATTTCTTAAGATCTTGACAAGGAGAATAAAATGATGAGAGCTAAAAAAATGGTGCAATGAGAGTATAGGATGCACTGAGGTCTGCAATTTCTGCGGCATTTGTTACTCAAGAATTGCTAGTTGAAAATACTGAAGCCTACCTGGAGATGATTATAATGAATTATGAGACATTCTGTGAAATTTTAGTCATTTTATCACTTGCCATTTTAGTTTGAGCTTTTGAGTTTTTGGCAAAACTGCTGAATCAAAAAATGTCACTCTCTATCATCCGCTTGTTCAAAAGGAAAAAACTTTCATCAACTATCATGTTGCATTTGAACATGTCCAAACTACTGTTTGTTGATGATAGTCGATGAAAGTTGATAATAGTTCATGATAGTTCATATTCAAAAGCATGTGATAGTTGAAACTTTCATCACGACCATTTGAATGTGGCTTTAGAGTTGAGTGTCTTTTCTGGGATGTGATAAGCTCACCAGGTCTTTAACACAGACCTCTTGTCTTGCAGTCTAGCACACTAACCCCTTTCTTGATATCTTTATTAAAAAAAAATTGAATATACCAGCTGTTGCTAACACAGGTTATTTCAATCACACACATCATGGGCTGCAAGTGCTCATAGAGGCTCTCTGGATCAGCTCAGGAAAATTGTTACTTTCAGGTCTTATAGTAAAATATGTCTCAATCATCTAAAGATAAAAAATACTGCTCTCTCTCACCTGTACTTGGACCTCTCCTGGATTAGTTGCGTAAATATACTGTTGACCGTCCTACAAAAAATGGTAAACAGAATCTGTAAGAGCTGAATAAATATTGCTCCTTTTCCTTTACATTGCAATAGCATAACAATCACTTGTTTAAAAACTTTTCCCACAAACTAAATTTTTTCATGGCATGGGGCATGGGCCAGATAAGGATTTTTGTTGTTAGGAGACAACTGCAATGTTCCCACAATCTAAATGAAGTCAACTGAAGTTCACTTCATCTTGACTGAAAAGTCAATTCTTGTGGGCAAAGCTATAAGGCTAATAGAAACACCTTTCCTGCAAAGAAACCAAAAAAAACAAGGATGCATTCAAACTAGTTGCTAGACACTTTAATCCCCCTAATCATTCAAAACAGCATATAGCAGTTTTCGGCCTATCCCTACATCTAGGCAGTGCAGAAAGCTGCAAAACACTAGAACAAAAATTTATCTTCCATATTGGCACTCTTAATCCCTACAGTATCAATGAGCACTTTTCATTCAACTAATTTATTCCTGTTTTTTTGTCACCATATTCCCACCAATTTCTGCATATAAACCCACACACAACCCACAATTCCTCCAATTGCTCTGACAAAGGACTAACCCTCAAAACATCAGACTTTAAACTCTTTACAGTGGCCAATTTACACTTTCAACTCAGTTGTTAACACTAAATTACCTGTAATAGAAACAAAGTTTGCAAGAATCAGAACAGTTCCACTCTCTTTAAATTCCAGCTATGACTCTCACATTTAATAATGTGGTGAAAACTAGATTGTTAGTGTTGCAAACAGAAGCAGTAAAACCAGCCACAATCATCATACAAGTTCACAGGCCATCCGCTGGCTTAGAAACTCCAACTACCAGAAAGTCTAACATTACAAGCTGTTAAATTATACCTGTTGCTGCTGTTGATATTGAACCACTGTGCCTGAAGAATTTTGTGCCATGGGCACTGTCTGCAGTGCCTCACCGGATGTCACAATCTGAATAGTTCCTGGAATTGTCACAGTTTGCGGAGCTTGTTGGTAGTTTAAAGTGCTTGTGGTTATCACTGCAATTGGAGAGGCACCTTCTGTTCCTTCACTTTGGGTCTGGATGTCCTCAGATATTGTCTCTACCTTTGTTGGACTTTCAGAACCAGATAACTCGTTGAAAATTTTCCTATGGAAAGATCCAAAGGTAATAAATAAAAATGTTATTCACTGACTACTGAACAAATAAGGGGGATTTTTCCACTGTTATGCAAGATATATATGTACCACCATGTATTCTGTGCCATCTTCTGAGAGTTCTATCAACTGTAGATGAAGAAAAGTTCATACTGGCTGCAAAGTGCAAAACTTAAGCAAAGCTTTCCATTAATTTGTAGCAGTTTGTAGCTTACATAGGAAGGATTGCTTATCATGACAAATCAAGTGCTTACTTTACAGATTTACAACAAGAAATGATAATTTCCTGTTAGAAAGTCAAAGTTAAATTTTAAAACAAATAATAGTGAAAGATGTCAAAAATCGCTGAATCATCCTGCAAAATTTAAATCATTTCCTGTTACACAAGCAAAACTCTGAGTTTGAATCAACTGATCTAAATTTAACCATTTAAAATGCATGGTAAAACACTTCAGTTTAAACAGATGTGTGAATTTGGGACGTGAAAATAAAAGATCAACATAATATCTTCAACAACATGCAATATTTTATGTCCAGTTGAAACCCATTAACTCGTGGTAATACAATTATTACATAAATATGACATCAAGCGTATTAAAAATAACGTTCACAAATATTGTTGGGACTGTCATACAGCGTATTAGATCAACACTTTTAGTTTCTCATTGATACATTCCAACAGGATATAAATAGTCAAAATATTTTTCAAATATGCTGAAGTATCAGACGAACCAAGCTGCCTCATGGGAACATTTATACTCTATGTTTAAAAATACTGATTTCTACTTGATTGCATATCAACTAAAACTTATAATTTCACTTACGCAGATCGAAGTTCTTGTTAAAAAAAAAATGACTGGTTACTTTCGACAAACTTTCCTTACGTTATGACTCGCACGTTTGTGTAAAAAATTCATAGGCCGTCCACCACAACTTTACCAGAAAGTCAAAAGCTAACTGTGCAAATAAGCCCAATCAGATCTTGACTTTGGCGAAGAAATAAAAATATAAAGCGGTCTCGCTTTACTGACCAGGATCGCGAATAAAATGCAATCACGGTTGCTCCTAGGATATTATTTTAAACGAGATGGCATGTAATCGGAGACCTTACCTTAGCTAAAGTAACGTAACAGCTCCGAGTAACGGAAACAAGTGATGGCGACATTTCGTGCAAAAAAAAAAGAGCCTTCGCGCAATATCGTGCGTCAGCATTTACGTCCCCATATACGTTTCGTTCGAAATTTATGATTGAAATAAATAGAACACGCTGGTTTATTTTATAATGGTGGGTAACACGTGAAATATCACCCTATATACAGCGATTCACAAGTCTCTTTGGATCACAGTGTTTACATAAAACGACGCGATCGTTCGGTGTCCTCGCCGAGTCAAGCGTACCTGTAAGATGGCCGCCGGGACAAAATGTCCCTTCGTTTTTTGCTTTCTTCATCTAAGACCCCACCAGTTGGATCTTCTGTGTCATTGACTCCTTGGACAGCCTGGGCCAAACTGATCTGTTGACCTTGTAGCGAGGCGGAATGAATGGATTGCGCTGTCTGTATGACGGACTGTTGGTTAGCCTGAATCACTGAAGGAGTTTGCATCGGTGGAGGCATAGAAGTTTGCGGTGAGCTTTGTTGTAAAACCTGTCCTTGTTGAACGGTCACAGTACTCCCGTTTTCCATTTCGGTCACATTGGATTGCTCTTCGATTTGCTCCATGGTAATCTAAACACCCGTAAGGTGCTGTAGGATAAGGAAAGTTGGAGCAAGGAAAAGCTTTCTGTTTCGTGGTCTCTACAAAGAACCAGATAGGAATAGAAAGCGATGAGGTCCACATCGCGATCGCTCGAGATAACCACGCAAACAAACCACCACACAATCCACTGGATGAAGCGACAGAAATCTAGCTAAAATTATAATAGGTTCGCTGTCGCCTCCTTGGAATCTAGAAAAAAAGAAAATGAAACTTACATGCTACGTCACTTCTACGTCACCCTGATTTCTTTACGCAGCCAGCGTGTCGTTGTGTTTCTTCTTCTTCGCGAGAAGCAGTCGCGTCACCTGTGGCGTCACCACTCGAGCTGCTAGCTACTGCGGGGTGGACCGACCCTGACAACTCCTCTTACATCATCATTACGTCAGTGCCTTGCCACTCAACACCAAATATGGTGAAATGCCCTTAGGGGTGGACCAGTCCCTGACGTCAAGGTATTGTATCGCGGAAAAAATGTCACGGAAGTCACTGAGTGCGGTGAATTCAAATTGTGTTCTGGCACAATTTTCCATAGTTTGAAAAAGCTTCTCGGCTGGGTTTGCGTCAATTCGATCGCTGGTTAAAAAACCCGCGATAAAAATCGCACTGTAACTTTACTCTGGTGATGAAGTGGGCGCCCTCCCTCTCTCCCAAACGAAACGTTCATTAAAAAGTTGTTAAACTTTAATATCTTTCAGTATATTTTGTGCTGTAGAGGTTACAAAAAATCGTTGACAGTTCAGCTCAAAAGACGTAAAGGTCGATCGAATATCGTTTCCCTTGAAAAAGGCTTTTAAGAAATATTGGTTCTATCAGCGAACGCCGTCAAACACAAATGATCGAATTTCGAATTATGACGTAATTTCAGAGGTTAAAAGTGCATTTTGACACTTTACAAAACGCCTGAGTATGCAAAGAAATTAGAATAATAAACTGATACCCTGATGTTTAGAGTTTTTATTTTATAGGCAAACTGAGTCAACACCTAGCTGAATGTTTTCTCATCTTCGACATTAAATTCTTTTTCAATAATTCCTTATTATTATCTCAATATAAGCAATACTTTAATAATATTACCAAAATTCTATGGTCGGAGCTGTTTGAAGTAGTGCTCAAAATGTGTTTTTTTTTGGTGTGTTCTTTATTAATTACTGCAGTACGCCAACAAACAAAAAATTCATCATCTCTGAATAAGTAAAGCGAGACTTTTTTGTCCGTAAATAAATAGTACCACTGCATTTCACGCCGGAAAGATTCTGACCTTACTACGTGGTGTTACGTACTGGAAGCACTTAATTCAAAAGATGTACACTCGGCTTCTCTGTTCCTTGGTTACTTTAATATTTCTATATTTTCGGAGGATTAGGAAAATCACAGTCTGACAGAATAGCAACTAGAATACCAAAACCCACCTTCGTACAACTCCAGTTCTGCATCACTTCACAATATTCAGTTGTCACTACTGAATCATCTAGCCATCCGTTTGTAATAATTTAAAGCTATCTCTCTCTCTTTCCAGCGGCGGCCTCTAGGTGAACTATACAAAACTATCGGTTTCCGAGGAGCAGCAAGGAACAAATAATACTGCTACAGACCTTTCTGAGTTGATAAATTCAATTTTGATTCAACTCCCACACGACGTGTTTAGAAAGATTATTATATGAGCGAAAACATTATAAGACGTTCAAATGTGCGCTTTTTGACGTCATCGCCCATTCACTCGCCCCAATCCATAGACAGAAGAGCCTAGAAACCGATGAAAGGTCAACCTTGGTTACAGCCAAACCGAATATTTCCTGTGTTAATGGCAACAATAACAGAATTATCGAACGTGATCGATTCAAAGCAGCGAAATTTAAGCAGGGAGAAGACAACAAACGCGTCACATTTGTAATGTACAAGTACAGTCTGCGCTCCTAGCGTGTGTAATCGCACGGAACGCGTCACTTTCACGCACGATTACGCAGGTCATTGAATTTGTTATTTTTGTGGATAAACATAAACTGCACCTTTTTTTACTACAAAAACTGAATACGATTAACCCTTGAACTCCCATGGGTGACTAAGACATTATTTATCCTTAGAATATCTAAGGCTATACCATATCAACCAGACAGGCGATGATAATTAGGAAAAATATCAACTAGGGGATTATTAGTTTGATTCAATACCAAATTTTCCGAACTAACAGCGTAAGAACTGTAAGACAGTCAGGAGAATTACCAATGAGATCTTGGGAATGAATGAGTCAACCGATGGGTATTTAAAAAAGAAAAAAAAAAACAGATGGAATTCGTCTAATCATGAGCGTGGGACAAAGGGAAAATCCCGAGTTCCGACGCGGAATCAAACCTTCGTGCCTTCGGACCTTCGGGTTCCGCAAACCAAGTCACAGACACTCTATTGCGAGTTTTCTGGACCAATCACAAAGCGAAACGTACAAAGATCGTAGGGATCCCGATTTACTCCCGATTCTTCATCGAAAATACCATAATGCTTTGTTGGCTTTACCAATTTCCCGTTAAAAGAGAACTATTTCGCTTTTGCTTTGCCCTAGTCCTGTCTCTACTAACATGTCCGATTGTAGAAGAATTCTTATGACAGCCACAGCGCGCCGCCATGCTTCTTTCTTGGCTGTGTAATCATCAAATACACTGCTTTTGACCTTGTAAGTCACTTGCCTCGAGTCAAAGGGATCTCGGACATTTTCGGCGGGGAATCCCGTGGGATCGCATGAAGGAACGCGATCTTTCGCGTGGCCACCTTTGATTCCTCTAGCTCTCCGAGGTTCCCCTCGATGATCATCGGAATGATCGTCTTTAGATTTCTCAAGAACATCTAGTGTCAAACCTTCGTTGACTAACTGTTCAACATAGACAGACGTACCGCTGAGCGAAGTAAAGTCTCCAGAGTTGAGAAGAACGCTGCACAAAAAGTATTTGAGTCCTTGGGCAAATGCCGTGTAAACCAAAGGCCTGAATACCTCTAAACTTTCCTGTAACCATCCAGGGAGAGGACTGGAAGAGAACGCCGGTGCAGCATGTTTGTCTGTTAAAAAAGATATCAAAAATAGAAGAAAGTACTCTGCAAGTACATCCTAAGCTTTATCATATGACTCGAGCGATCCCGCCTACGCAATCTTATACAAAAAGAAATTATAGTGAAAGCTGATGTGTGTAAGGTCGGACGGGCTGACGTGAGCTGGTCCAGGAAAAAGCCGTCTGGCCCCACACTCGTGCCGACCTTACCAGTTTACATTATTTATCTACAGTGTCAAGTGCTCGGAACAGTTTTCCACTTTCACTTTCTCTTGCAAGAATCGGCAAATGCTCACAAACCACTGGGCAGCCGTTCGTTATGGTTTACATACCTGCTAATTCAGTCAGCCGTCGGATGCAGGCAGCTTCAATTTCACCCGCTCCAGGTAAAACTCGACCGCAGGAGAGGGTATTTTTCAACCGATAGATCGAATTCCAGAACCTCTCCTCCATATCACAGAGGACATCTTTACAAGGGCTACAGAGAAGTACTGTCTGTAAAGGACTGTTAAAATCTGAGGGCAACAGATACCGGAAAGAAAAAAATTCAGTAAAAGAAACTGATGTAAGGAAAGTACTAGACTACGAGCAGTTCCTCTTTTCGGCAGAGTCCGTTGCGCGACTCAAAACAAATGAGCGGAAAAAAAAGTTGACGCTAGTGTATCGCTCGGAATTATTGTGACGCATGAAAAGTAGGGACTGCGAAGGGACTTCACACAGTGATCCGATGGAAAAGCAAATCCTTACTGCTTACCTTCGCGACCCGAACTCGCCTCCGCCACTTCTCTAACAAGGACATACTGACAGGTCTTCATCCTTCTGACGTCACCATCCCTGCTGCCTTTTGGCTTGCTGTGTCTAACTAAACATGGCGCCCAGCCGAGTTCCCACGTTTCTATGGTAACAGGTCCTCCTAGATCCTGTTCCCTCAAGTCAGCGAGATAAGTAATTATCGCAGAGCCGGTTGCAAAGGAAAGGAGTTGAAGGACTGGATATGAAACGCTTTGAAGCACCGTTATGTTGTGTGATGAACAATAATCTAACACTGAATCATGAACGATTCCTTTGACGACAAGGATACCAATTTTGTGATTACTGAGGCTTGCTGTAACGCTTCGGTACCAGTCTTTCTCCTGATTGAAAACGGATGATTTGAAATCTTCATTCCTGATAATTCTGAGAATCTGCAATTCGTTGTTCAGTCCCGCATGGCGAAATTCCGGCGTGACATCTCCATTAATAAGAGCCAGGAGAAGTTTGCAAGCAGGAAGATTCTGACTTGAAGAAGAAAACTGAAAAGTTGAAGTGTTTTCCAATAGAAGACCATCTATTCTACAAGAAAAAGAGTTTGGCGGACCAAGAACTAACTCCGTGTAAATCATTCCAAGAGGAATGTCAAGGTCTTTAAACGATGAAGAAGAGATTGGCAAGGAATTTGTTACTTCAACTGCAAGTTTCATTTCGAGATCTTTACCATGAGAGAGGCAACTTCCAAGTTCAAACAACGACTTCTTCTTTATTTCAACTGAATTGAGTTGAGATGGAGAAGAACTAACCCCGTCTTGAACTGATAACTTTTCCCTATCATGTGGTGTTGAATCGACCAAATCCGTTTCTCCTGAATGCCTAGTTTTTGGTATCGACTTGCTAAGAGTTGTGCCAGTAGGCAATTTTTCAGGCTCTCCGTTGGGTGAGTCTTTGGGTCCGTTCGCGACATCTACTAACTTTGGCGAGGCTTTGTTCCTGGAACTGTTCACAAAATGTCTACTACCCTTGAAAATTTCTGACAGTTTAACCCGTCTTTGTACACTTACATTCTTACTTTCCAGTTTCTCCGAGAGGGAAAACAAGAACCTGTCGTCTCCTTTTATGTCTCTACAATCTGACGAAGTTAGAGGGAGTGGATTAAAATTAATTTTGTGTAGAGGCTCAAAAGATTTCGCCCCTACATTTTGAAACTTTGTACGCTTCGTGTCTGTATGAGCGTTAATGAAGTTTTCTCCCAAAAATCCAGAGGATCTCAAGTCTTTATTACGTTCCTTTGACACTGGTGATTTAGTAGCGATATTTCCATTCGCGGTGTATGAAACAGCCTCTGGTAGAGATGTCTCGAATTCATCTACACATTTGTCTTCTCTTCGCGAGAAAATACTTTTATTCCAAGATTCTGTTGATTCTATAGGCGTTCTTGAAGCCTTATTTCCAAAACTGGTGTCTCCTTGAATGTTAGGATAAAACTGAGAATTTCCACTTTCACGTTCGTCAAGCAATAATCTTGTTTTTGTTCCTTGTAAAAAATCTTCTGGCTTCCCCGTGTTCACCCAAGGAGGAGACATATTACTGACGTTCGTTTTTGCATCTAAGATTCCTATTAGTGACTTGCAACTTTCTGATCGTGATGCAATTTTGTTTAAGTTTTCGTTGTAAGTTGTTACATCTCCATTTCGACTGATTTTTAGATCAAGGCAGTTCTTATTTCGGAAAGTTTTTACCTCTGGCATCTTGGTGGTTGGAGTTTCCATCTTAACTGTCCGTGGGATAGGTTCCTCAGCTGCTGTGATATACCTTGGAATCCTTGGGATATGACTACGTGCCCCGGGGATGTCAAAATCTCCCCGTGGTGAACCATCATCAACTCCCCGTTTTTGTCCATCAAAATACCATGATATGTCATCAGCGTCAACAGCGTCAATAAGATCAGTCTCCTTCAAGATGTCCAATTCAGCAACTGGATGACAAGAAATCCCTTTGGAGATGCTTTTGCTGTTCTCTTTGTCACCATAATCATCTTTGGCTGAATGGTTCAAGTCTTGATGACTTTGCAAAGCTTCGGTTATATCAATGGACGTCTGATGACAAACCTCTTCACAGACTTGAAGTGCATCATCAAAAAGACGTAAAATGATCGGGATAGGAACACCCTGGAAATTATCATGTACAGTCAATTAAAAAAAAATAAGACAGTAGATTTATGATTAACCCTTGGACCCCTGAGAGTGACCAGTATCTAGTTTCTCCTTACAATATCACCCTTATATCACTCATTTAGGTTTCAAGAATATAGGAAATGGTCACCAACTAAAAAAAGCACCTGATTGTTATACAAATTCTCCTTGTAAGACCTTAGGAAATGTATAGAGAACAGTATGGAGAATATGAATACTGATTTTAGAAACTCAGCTGTGAAGAGCTGACAAATTTTAGGTCCTTCCAGTATATGCCAAGTGACCTATCAGACTAATGCTTTTGCAGCTTTTATTGGCAAGCAAAGAATCAACCCTTCACATTATGACTTTCACATTATCCACATGATAGAGTGACCTGGTGCAACATTATGTTGACCTTTATAAATGACCCACGATGTTCACATCTGGTGTTCTTTCAACCTGGTGCATAAAGCCCTACAACTATTTTCACCACAGTCAATACTTTCCAGTCAGATTCTTCCACACAATTCAGACTGGTACACCTCCCGCATAGGTGAAAAAGCTTTGTAAGTCACCTGATCTAGCAGATCCTCCGCTGCACTGCTCCAGAAACCAGCCATGCATATGAGAGTCTTGCAGTTTGTTCTATATTTTTTGTACTGGCCTTGGCAAGCATCATTTAGGATAAAACCAGCTGGATGCTACAGTGGTGATTGAAAATAATTTTTATCACAAGTGTCCTTATATGTTATAACTGACATTACCAAGTTCTTGTCCAGTTACAATTGGACAAAATGTCAGCAGCAAGTTGATAAAATAGGAAATTCAGTAAACAAGTTTGGAAGAAGAGTTAGAATATTCTAGTTATGGTCTTCATAAGTTTGAGATTCTAGCAGGACTGGATACAGGGTTTTTATCAGAAAATGTAATAGATGTTTGATCTGAACTAAATAGGGTGAATGTAGGTGGCCCCCGTTCATAGGGGGAGTCTGGGGACCTGCTCACCCCCCTCCCCCAAATAAATTTGAATTTTAAACTTCTCTGGGATGTGATTTCCAAAAGAAGAAACTGAGACATAAAATGTACATAGACATAAAATGCAAGTGTGTTATTTCTCTCACTTGAATGTCAATGAACTGCAACAACTTGGCTGCACTGCTGCATATGACAGATTCATCATCTGAACTGCAGCACTTTAAGCTACAAAATACAGAAAAAAAGTTGTTCAGCTGGTGGATCAGTTTATCAGCTGTTTTGTTATTAGTGCTACATAACACAAGCTTGAACAGCACTTATTACAAAATATATGGGATTCTCTTGCAAAGTTTAGGTCGCCATGGAAATTTTTTATTTGTTAAGTTTGGAAGTTCTTGAACTTTTTTTTTCTTTTTAAACTCAAAGAAATCACCCATTTCATCATCATGGAAAAGGTTGCAGGTAATATATTAACCTAAATTATAAATACGTGGAAAAAACTGTTCCTGTAGCGATAATTCAAAGAATAAGAATACGTTATAGCTATTGTAAATGAAGTAAAATTTTATAGAAAGGAAAATAAAGTCCAAATCGTCAAAGAATCGTACTCTTACCCGTTGTTAGGTCCCAAAAGTGTTTTGACAGAAGAAGCTGAGGGAAAAAATAAAATAAGAAATTGACAAAAAGTCTCCCGGTGAAAATAATTTCAAGGATGACTTTTTCTATTTTAAGGATCACTTGTTGGTTTCCTTACCAAGAGCTCTCGCTACACTAAGATTGTTGTTATTTCGTGCCACCCGGCCAAACTCATGTCCGTCCGCCATATTTGTTATGCTTAGCGACCTGGCCAGATCAAGTAATGAAACTCATCAAATGACGACACATTCAACATTTTTGCAAGATGGCTGCGGTAGGGATACGAAGGTCCTTGCCGCTTTTTCGACATTGTAGAGGTATTTGGCAAGCCAACAGGTAATTAGAACTATTTATTTGAAAATGAAACAAGTTACTTGGTTTTTCCTGGGGTAAAGTGAACAGATCGTATTTTTAATGTAAGCTTATCGACTCTAACTTTTTCTTTATCTTTAGGTCCTTGAGTTTGTGTTGTTGCCGGCTTTCTCCCGGTATTGAAGTTGTTTCGAGGAAGAAGATGAATAGTTCTCGTGAAGTAAACAAGCACGATTTAAACGTAATCCCAAGGAGAACGTTAATAGGATCCATTATTCCGAATCCCCTCAATACGTCGCGGAGGAGAAAGTATTCCGAGAGGAGATTGCTTGGGTAAGTAAATTTAATGGTTCAATAAGTTTATGTTTATACTATATTGTAACCCCCTTGTTTGGTTGGAAATGATCATTAGAATACATTTTCAATCCGCACGAGTTTTCAAGCCCTTTTGATCTTGACTGCTCCATAACTGGTTAAGTAAAACGTTATTTTAGGAAAACTGTTAAACCTGGAAAATGTACAAATTATTCTGACGTGCACCTTCGTACAAAGTCCGTCACTCGTTTCTAAGAATTCAATGTATATGACAAAAAAATGAGCGTATATGCTTTACTCTAGTTACTCTGTCTCTAATAGTTTCATATAATTGTGTTTGATCGTTGAGGGTTTCAAAAGATTTTAACCCTATAATTCGTAGAAGCAATTATCCTGTGACTTCTCCAAGGTATGATATCCATACATCGTCCAATAAACAGGTAATGAGAATGCTCAAACTTATAAGGTAGAATTTGTTATCTTGATACGATCTAACATCAAATGCTCCTTACTAATTTAAAAGGAAATGTGCCGCAGCTAGAGGGGAGAATAAGCAATCAAATCTTGGAAGAACTGTTAATTTTTTTCACAGGAATCTTAGGAGAAATTTATGTTCCTAAGGCTTTCCAACCTACTTGTTTGGAAGGTTCTTATAAAGACTTTGAACAATGGATTCCAACAATACTCCTTCAACAACCCTTTCAGCAATATTATTTTGATAATATTACTGATAAATGCAGAGCACTGAGAGTAGGGTTTTCTTTCTATGATTAAGGATACACAGAAAGAATTAAAAGACTACTCTAATCTCAAGTGATCTCATTTTTGTACTGTTATTTATGTGATAACATCGTTCTTCTTATAGTTACTCAATGGAGGATATGTATGCAGTGGTATCAGATGTGGAGGATTATAGACATTTTGTCCCTTGGTGTAGGGACTCTACAATTGTGGCCAGAAAACCAGGCTTCCTTAAAGCTAAACTAGCTGTTGGTTTCCCACCTGTGGTTGAGAAGTATACATCTGTTGTATCTTTGGCCCCACCAAACCTAGTGAAGGTACTAAATCTGTGTAATTAAGTTTTTTATATAATTATGTATCACACATCTGTACATATGTAGGTTGGCACACTGAACTGGATAAGATCTCTAGAATATGCCAACAGGCTTGAGAGCTGACTTTTCATGACAAGTTAAGCTTAACCCTTTTACTCCCATGAGTGACCAAGACAGAATTTCTCCTTACAATATCAACACAATATCAACCAGATAAGTGATGAGAATAAAGAAAAATATCAGTTAGGGGATTATAAGTTGATACAATACCAAACTTTCTAAACTAACTTCACAAGAACTGTACAAGGAACAGTATTGAGAATTACTAATGAGATCTTGGGAGATAAAGTGTAAATTTATTTGGGCAAATGAATATCATTGGTAAGATATGCTTTCTGTGTACATCTTGTCATAAAATTGCTTCTGATTCACAGGCAGAGTGTACGGATGGAGAGATGTTTAATTATATGAAGACTATTTGGAAATTTAGTCAAGGTTTACCTGGAAATCCTAATACTTGTACATTGGACTTTTATGTAAGTCGTTATTATTAATAACATTTTGAAAGTTCTGTCTTAATTTGTGATTTGGAAGATGTGGGCCCAACAGTTAGTGCACTGAACTGTAAATCAAGGGGTCAGGTTGGGTAGGAGATGTGGCTTGATCATTGTGCTGCGTTCCTGAACACATTTTTCTCTTGGTACCTCCCTTCACCCTGAGTGAAAAGGGATACTGTCAAACTGTCAAGAAAGTCTGACATAATGTTGGCGGGTAACCTGCAATGAACTGGCTTCCCATCCAGGAGGGAGTGGCAATACTCCAAGTCACGCTATGCTACAGGAACTGGGATAAGCTACGGCTAGATGGGCCCCATGGCTCTAGAGCAGATGTTAACCTTTTTCCTAGTAAAATGTTAATTATGCACATGTGGCTCAGCCAAGATAATTGTTCAGTGTTGATATTGTTGTTGTCTTGTTTGGCCATTTTCTCATTAACTCTTTAAATTTATTTTCTTGTAGGTTGAGTTTGAGTTTCGTTCAATCCTTCATTCTCAGCTTTCAACCATGTTCTTTGACGAAGTTGTTAAAAAAATGGTGAAGGCATTTGAAAAGCGATGTTACTATCTCTATGGACCAGGCCACTTGCATAATAACAAATCTAGACCAGTACCAGCAGGTATGAGTAAAACTTTTACTTTTATGGAGGCTATGCACCTACCATAACAGTAGTGTGTAGTGTAGAAACTTTCTAGGTCTTTTTTATTTCATGGATTGACCATTGTTTGGGGTGTCTTTTACATGAACAAATTTGTTGGAGTTGGAGATGTCTAAAATTTTTACTGGGCGTAATATTTGTGATTTTCTGACCCATCAGAGGAATATTAACAGGTTTAGACACATCTGTCACAGAGAGGAGAGTTACATCTTAATGATTTGTTAATTAAGATTTTTTAGTGAGTTTGAGTATAAAATACCAATTGATTCTTGATTTCCAATTTGATACCAATTGATTCTTGATTCGTATGTTTAATCAGCTTGTCACAGTTAAGCCCCAAAGTTTTACAGCTCATCCTTATCACAATAGAGAAAGAAGCTCACCATTCTTTTTTTTTCTTAAGTCAACCACCCTATATTAGTGTGTGACTCTGCAGGCTAGCTTTTCCCTGAGTTTAGGATTGTCTAAATTTCATTTTTAACTGAATATTACAATCACCTACTAATCGAATTTTTTGCTTTTAGGCGCAAGATAACACAAGGCATATGGGTCAATTGCTCTATGTGCACTAAGATAGCTCATGTATGTCTTGTATGGTATCAACAAATATTATTATTTACAAATACTATTTTCACTTTGGGATATAAAGCGAACATATTAATTTTTTGGATTTCTAGGACCACAGGATCTTATAGAGTAAATTTTGCTGACAATACAATATTAAGTTGATGCAATTTTATTATGTGAAATATAGATTTAAGAATTTCATCTTTTCTATCAGTGCTTATCAACCTGTTGTGTCATTTTAACTGTCATTTTACTCTCAGGCTAAGCTGCAGTGTAGGATTTTACTAGTAATTTAGAATCACCATAGCAACTGTTAGTTATCAATAAGTGACAGTCTTTTTGGGGTTGGCTTTTTTTTAAATCTGAAAGCTCTTTGTTCAAGACTCTCAAGAGTCTAGACATGACCCCAATGGGTTAAGTTGAAAAAATAGAAAATATACATGTCTGAACTGATCATCACCATCTTCCTGATTTTTCTAGCACATCATCAAACATTTTAATCTGCAAACCTGCTTTTTCTATGGCATCATGCAACATTTCTATGTGAGTGAATGTGCATAGGTTAACAGCTGAACACTGCTGTTGTTGTCGTTTGTAACGTGAAAAAAGTGGAAGAAAATTATTTTATGAATATTTTCTTTGCTTACTCCCGTGGCTGATAATTAGTGAAATATAAAGGTATTTGAAGGAGCTGTTTTACATTCTGAAAAGAAAATGTAATTTATTTTGTTGAGTTGTGAGTGGTAAAGACATATATGCATGATAAGGTCTCCTGTTTCTAGTGTCATTTAAATCATTATTAATACTGATAATAATGATATTTGATAATATTTTAATATTAATACTTATGACTGAATGTTACTCTGCTGGACTTAAGCTATGAATTAAGGTTGATATATATGATTTTGAATAGTGATAACATTATTATATTTACAAAGTGAGAAAAAAGGACCTATTTATTATAGCAATGTGTAGTGTCCTGTGAATAACAAGAATCAGATAATCATTTGTCAATGTTAAGGTATATTACATTAGTTAACCCCTTAACTCCTACATCAAAATTGTAATTCTCCTTACTGTCAACCATACACATCTTATAAAGTTAGTTCAGAGAATTTAGTATTGGATCCACTAATTATCCTCAAATTTATATTTTTCTTTATTCTCGTCACTTATCTGGTTGATATTGTACTGATATTCTGAGGAGAAATTCTGTCTTGATCACTTGTGGGAGTTAAAGGGTTGAAGAGTTAACATTTTGTGGAATTTAGATTTCAGTGAGGATAAACTTGCTCAAAGATTTTCAAAGTAACAATCTTTAGGTAGATAATTAAAGTATCTCACAAGCCATGCACTTTGAATTGCTCTTAGGTAATCTATGTTTTCAGATGGTGAGCTGATAATTACAGAAAAAAAATTTTGATCAAGTAGTTACTAGATATAATCTTAGGACTATGGAACCCTCTTAATGAATATGAGCAGCACAGGGATTATAATTTGTGATGCAGTCAGCCAGGTCCACCTTCACAACTGATCCCTGCAAAGTTTCAAAATGTCAGTTTACTGGGATGTAGCAAGGAAATTACAAATGGGGGGGAGGGGGGGGGGGTCACACCTTGTCACACCTAAGGTACCTACCTGACTGTTGTTTCAATATCCTTCCAGCTGTGTGGCATGTTTTTGAATGAGCAGTGAGCAATGCATACAGTGTTTACTCTGGTATCTGTAATTTTTCCACATCTGAATTATACCATTTGCTTGTTCATGACAAAAACACATATTATCTTACAAAGAGGTCATGGACACACTAGGAGCTTCCTTAAGCTCCACCCCTGTAATTAGCTTGGCAATGCACTGATGGTTTAACAGACGGTGAAAGCAAATGATTCAAATGTTTTTTGGATGAAGGATCAGCTGATGCTATACTGATGCTGATCCTTAAAGCTAGTGATTGTGGGCTGGTTCCCATATTTTGTACAAAGAGCAAAGAAACATTTACTATAATAAATGAATATAGTTGTGTCTGAAAATAAATAATATGCTGCACCTGGAGTTCAATAAAAAGTGTGATTCTTTTCAAAAATGCTCCTCTGAAGTTGTCACTGATTCCTGTTGTTATACAAAGATATAAGAGAAAAGAAAAAATTGAGTATTTTCATTGTTGGGTTCAAACCTCAAATAGTTGGATATTCCACCTGGAGCCATGTCACTCATATCCACAGACCAAACCTTATTAGCCCCAGGTTGTATCTTATCTTTTATGTGCAACAGTGGGATCAGGAGAGACTGGCACCACCACAGCGAAGGGGATAATGGAGAGAAAGAGAGAAAGAGATGATCATCTTCATCTTGATTCAGTCCCCTTCAAGGGCGGAGATCTGGGCACTGCAGTTAGTTCTGGTTAGCTCGAAAGGCAGGGTTACAAAGTTTGGAAGAAAAACAAGATGGCGGACGAAAACACGACAGTTGCGATTACTTAGCTGTAAAACTCACCGATATATAGCCATGATGCTTACAAGGACTTGAGAAAATGGCAGGTATTACTGGAAGAAATGATATATTATTATTATTCGATGAATTTGGGGTTCTCAATCATTTGCCATGTCTGTCCACAGAAGAAAATTTGTTGAAACCATGCAAAAATGTTCGCATTTGTAGGGAAATGCCAAGAAATATCTGTTTCCTTGATTGCGAGACGAAATTTAGCGAATAGAAAAGATAGATCTGCAGATGACACGTAAGTAGATACATATATACATACATACATATATTTAGTTTATAAATTAAAGCAGGTCAATAAAGTAGCCAATTAAACAGCTGATGTGGACCTACTATCCCTAAGGATAATAGCGATAAAACCGATAAAAATCAAAACACGATTATGTAATTTGCGCTTAAGTTATATTTAAATTTGATAGTACCTAGAATCCCTGACAGAACATCTTAGCTTTTTGTGACCTGCAAAGTTCTACTGTTGGCAGGCTGGGTCAAACAATCTCACTGGTTTGATGTACACTATTTATTTTTCCAACTCATTAGCAACTCTGATCTTACAATCAATAACCCAGAATCACCCATCATATTTCCCTCCTTCCATCACAAACCTATCAAAAAGCTGATTGTAAAGCTTCAGTCACAACAGTGGTAGATGATGAGACATTAAATGTTGAATTGTGTTTTACATCACAGAGCTGCTGAATTACTGAAGTTAACTCATGTCCGCCTGGACCGTGAAAAGATAAGTGAAATTGACAACTTGGATTGCCTTGGGCCAGTCACAAATTTATATTTACAGAAAGTAAGTTAATGTTTATTACATGAGGTTTTGTGCAGTGTTGTGGCCTGGCCTAGTTAGCCTAGTCTACTGTAGCTAGTCTAGTTTAGCCTTGTCTAACCCAGCCTAGTCTAGGGTAGTCTGTTCTGACTTAGTATAACCCAGCCTAGTCTAATCTAACCTGGCCTATTCTAGTCTTAATAAGATGAATTAACTATCATAAACTCCATATAGTTTTAATTAATTATCTTTGTTATCATTTTTTCTTTATTAAAGAATGAAATTACAGGAATAGAAAACCTTGAAGTTCTTCCTAAATTGAGGTGGGTATGTAATTATAACAAGATAATATGGTTACTTGAGTTTGTCAGAAATTGACAAATTTATATTTGGTATGTTAGTCTAGTAAGTAAAAAAATAGAAACTTTTCTTTTTATGTTTCTACACTGTTGATAGATTTAAACTGTAACTAAGGATATCTTCTTACCCCCAATACATAGATTCTTGACATTGGCTGAAAACAAGATAAGTAAGCTGGAAAATCTGAAAATGCTCACTAATTTAAAGTTCTTGGATCTCTCAGACAATAGCATTGAGAATTTTGACACAGGTTTGAATTAAGTTGCAATTCTTTTTTTTGAGACAATATTGAATTTTGAATTTTTACTCAAAAGTAATGTAACAAATTTTCAAAAATATATTGATTTTAATAATTTTGTTAACCTCTTTACAGAAGAGTTACCATCAAGTTTAGTGATATTACTTTTGAAAGGAAATCCCTGCACTGAAAATGCAGAATACAAGTGAGTTATCTCTAAGGTCATCTTCTGATTTCTACTTATGTTGTCCAATAAAATGCAAAGTGTTGAAATTTATGATACTATTTCAATAAGGCATGTTTACAAAATGTGATTGATTTTTGTCTTGGAATTTGTTTTGCACCACTTTGCAATTTAGGAAGAAATTACTTGCGGCCCTTCCTTCACTGAAGCAGCTTGATGGCAATGAGGTAACAAGACAGGACAGAGTGGAAGCTGGATGTGACGTGTAAGTACCAATACTCTTTGTCTTGTATTGAGTCCACTTCCAGTGAAAAGTGGCAAAGCCTGAATTAATATCTCTGACAATATATATGTTACATGCTATGTGATATGTTGCTGTGACAATAAGCTACTATATCAGGGCTCCAAGCTGAGCTTTTATTCAAAGTTGCCATTTTGTGACCAAACATTATAAAGTGCTTGGCAGAATTAAAATTCTGGTTGCAAAAAAGACACTCTGTGCACCATTGCATAATATTTGAAACCCTTGACCACACTGCTTGTCTTTGGAGCAAGCAGCATTCTGGCGATTCAGCATCATGTCAAGGCTTAATACGTAGGCATTCAAGGAGAAGAGGATAATTTTTAAACAGGACAACCACAAAGCACCAGTAGTATTTTATGAAAACGTTATCTCACTTCAACTTCAGACCATAAAAACTAAGTTGTAAAACATTACAATTGGTGGTGCAGTGTAAATTGTTGTAAAATTGATACTTAATAGGGAAAGTGAGTCTGACGAAGATAGTGATGAACAAGAAGAATATGGAGGATCAGACCTTGACAGAGGAAAAGAAAAAAAAGGTGGTTAGAGTCAGTGTGATCTGCAGGCCTTAGGGATACTTTGTAAATCCAATAAAAATCATCACAAATGCCTACCTGTACAGTATCAAATGGCAGAGAAAATGTAACCTTTCAAACTTGGATTCATTAAATTTCACTTTAATTAACCCTTTAACTCCCAAGATCTGATTGTTAATTCTCCTCTCTAGCTGCTACACATTTCTTTGTAAATAAGTTATGAGAATTTGGTGCTCAATCAAGATAGCAACTTCTCCCTGATAAGTTTGAATATTCTCATCACCTGTTTGCTGAATAATGTATGGATATTATAGGGAGAAATTTCATGTTAATCACTTCTGGGAATCAAAGGGTTAAGAATTTCTTGAATTTGCCAAAGATTAATCTGAAAATCTCAACTTGCTGTATTTCTAACTGGTAGCCAGAACATTGACATTATCTTTGGTAATCATAGTTGAATTTTTTAATTTTTACTTTAGGTTCTCTCCATCAGCACTGTAATGATATACTGGTACGAGCCAAAATAAGAACAGTGAAGGTACATCTTGCTACATAATCACACTCGGATGTAATATTTTCTTTTCAAAGGAGAGGTGGTGATCTGGGTCGAAATGATTTTGGGGGCACAAAACTCTGAAACTGTATGTGGTTTTGTGAAGATGTATTTGTCTTTCAAGCCTGCTTAGTTGGTGTTTTGGTGGCCAGTAGTACATGGCTTCTGGATACGAACTTATCTCAAGAATGCTAGACAAGACTTTAGGGCCTACTTCTAGTTTACCAGTGCTTCTGGTTACATTGGTTAAATATTTGGCCTTCTCTTGGTCATTCTGGTCTGCCATTCCCTCAGTTTGAATTCCTTGGTTTTTAAATTGTGGGCTAGAAATTTTGAGGTGAAGCATCATGTTTTAAATGGCAAAATGATATATTTTTGAAACCCCTAGAATGAATAGCCCTCTACTGGTGTATTTTTTCAGGAAGAAAAAGAGCATGAGAGGAGAATGGAAGAACTAGCCACCCTTAAAGATCTACAGTCACAAAGGACATCAAGCAGAGTTTCATCCAGGCCATAACTAAAGATTTGATAATTGTTTGAGTCACAAAGAATGCACACAAACCATTTGCCAAGCGAGTTAAAGATTGAGGCTCCTGTTTTAAATGTTGACTTATTTTTCTGTGAACACCAAGAACTGGGCTCTCTTTTCTTTCATTTGTAACAACCAAAAATGTAGAGTGAATCAAGGGGTCATATTACAGCCTAATGAAGTTGAGAAAAAAATCGAAAAGACATTTAAGTTTTTTCTCCAGTCTTTGTATATAGGCAAGGTGAACATACAAGCACCACCAAATAAAATAAATATGATTGCATACTGTGATCATACTGATTGGGAAAGTCCTGAATAGACCCTATGTTGCTAAGGGCTTGTCTAACATTTTGACAGCGAGAGAGGAAGTCATAATTTAAGTCATCGTCATCGTTGACTCTGACAATTAATAATTGCTTAGTTTATTTACTTAGTCACTGTCATTATAGCCTGTTCTAGGCATCTACTAAGTCAAATGGAGCAATGAGGAAAGTTGGGTGGTATTGTGAAAAGGATGTTTGATATGAAACCCAACCCAATGCTCCCTTGCTGTTTTGCTTCTCTGATACTGTTGTGCCTGGAATAGGCTACTGCCATTGTGAACAATTTTCTTCTAGACTACTCTTACCCAACATGGGTAAGAGGAAAATAAGGGCAATATGTAATTAACTGTTTCTCCAGAGGTTAAACCATTTACAGTGTGCTGTAAAAAACAATTAGAAGCCAACAGTGAGTTAAGAAAATTAAAATTTGTTTACTTGTGTGGTTTTGCACAAGTGTCTCTTTTATTCTGTAAAATGATATTACACTTTTTATAATACCTCCAAAAACGGTATTTAACATTTAACATTGTATAATTTTCATAATAACATTGAAACTTGCAAATTTCAACCAGTGACTCCTATAATGAGATTCACTTACAACATAATTTTTGGGCTCAAGCATTTTGTCAATATACATTTTTTCAAGAAGGAAATTTTTTTCTTGTCCACTACAATATTTGTTTATTGTAAAGGCAGAATAAAAAACCTACATTTCATCTTCACAAGTGATTTGTTCCTATTTGGAGCAGATTTTGGGTTCTATTGCAACAACAAAATTCCTATT